GTCAAGTCCCTCTCATTGTCACCTTAAAGCTGTTAAAGCTGTATTTAAAAAAACTAAACTCCATGCAGTCACAGCAAAGATTGTCAAGCTTGTTTATCGGCACAATCGATTTGTTTTCCCTTCAAGGTCTGTTTTAACATGTGTATGGGCATCCAAATGTGTAAGGCTATTGAAAACCAAAAAAAAAGAAAAGGGATAGCTATAATTCGATAAAATCGGCAGATGAGAGCACCAAAATCAATGATTTTTTTCAGTGGCTTGTGTGACCTTGTGTCTGATACATTCATATGCAAATGTTAATCTGTGAAACAAACAGACAAACCACTCAAGTGTTTTAACCAACGTACATGACATTCTATGTTATGTTGACTTTATCATATGAAAGTTTATAGTGCATTTCATCAATTAATAATAAATGTGAAAATCATAATATAATAGTCTCGCTACCTTAATTTGATAGATTTATTTATTTGGTTACTGTGCCATACCTAACGAGGGCTGTATGACCCTTCATTTATAATAGACACTTACATTACACAAGTATAAAATGTATCGAGGCGTCTTTGTACAACATTTTTAGACACCTCTCCACAAGTTACAGCGTTCATAATTTTTAAATAAGCAAATAGTGTATGCTATTAATTTGAACTGTAGAGCTGAATCGATTAAACAAATTTTAATTATAAGCGACGACCGATAGAAACAGCCTCTGTTTGCAAGTTGCAAAGGATTGTAGCGGTCTGTCTTCGCTTTGGGAGTTATTATCGAAAATAATGTATGACATATTTAAAATAAAAAAGAAGATAATTTATGATGTGAGAATCGTTTTTTTTTCTCTCGGGTCGATGAATTCACAATCAATTTGATGTAACGTTTAGAAATTAGAGTGATTTGTATTTGGTTCTGTGTTATAGTGGGTCTAGCATTATCATATAGCATTGCAAACAGGAATTATACGGCATGAGTCATGATGTACCCCCAGACAAATCATATCGATGTTATCGCTATCGCCCACACGACATTGTCGCAAAACGGGATTACGGGAATAATGTTGACTTAATGGGTTAAAGCATGGCACAGGTAAAATATATTCAAATCCACAAATATGTTCATGTACCAAGTAAACAAGGATATAAACAAAAGCGTACACTAATAATCAATAGACTGTTACTATGATGCCAATAGTTAAATAAGCAACAACAACATCCCATCCTATAAAACTATACTGTATGTCTTTTTCCTTAAACCTTACATCCCATTACTAGAACGAGTAGTCGGTCATGTTGCGTTTAGTCAGCGGTACTATCATGCTCGACTACATTCTTCTGTCTGTAACTATCACATCTGGACTAATCTATATTTCAAATTTATATTTAAAGTATATACTCAATGAAAACTTATTGCCAAATAAAACTACCTAAATATTACAAAAGATTCTCGATTCAATCAGAACAATACGACACCAATCCTAATGCAATTCTCAAAATACGTTTAAAAATAAGTAATTTTAGGATATAACCTCAAATGGTTTAAATTCAGGAAAAAAATGTCCGGAGCAATCAAAGTTACTGCTACATACTGGGTTAAAACCCCTATCAAATCCTGATCTGAGAAAATAACCCAATAGCATTCAGATATGATTTATAAAAACAAAATCTGATTACATGCCAGATCTGATCATTATTTTTAAGTCATTCAAGAATGAGACTTAATCATTGTACTAGTTAAGAATATAAACTTCTTCTTATTTAAGAAGTAACAACGCATATTTAATACAGTGTCGACAATCAACAATTAGGTATTAGACATGTACCCTAATCTTGGAGTACATATATCACGTGTTAACCCATTTCAAATACTGTACACACCACTGAAGGAGGCTAGTTAGGGCCACCTTTCGAATTATTTTGCTGTACCCATCGTTCCTTTAAAGCTAATTTGTAGATAGGCCAGCTATCGAGAAACAGACGTCTGCATAACAAATTATTTCTTTGGGCTTTACATTTACTCGTCACCTTTTGCTGCTTGTTTCGAAACTCTCTTAAATCTTTGTGAAAATCTCCATCGTAGTTGTTCACTTTTTCCCAGAATGTACGATTAAAATATGCGTATAAAAGGAAGTCTGCTTTATTCCATTTTCTAATGGACGTCTTCATTGAATCACTCAATTCTTCTTTGGGACTATGTACCTTTTTCTTGTGGTAAATCAAATCGTCGAATTTCCAACACAACATTTTTTTGAGCAATATGAGTGACTCGTCATAGTATTCTGTGATCATTACTAAATCCATTTCCGCTTCCAGTTGTTTGAATGTTTGTTGTATGTATGTGTCATCATCGAGTTGGTTCATATTGAAGTTTGGTTCCAAATACCACAACTGTCCATTCTTGTGTTGGTGGTGAACTTCAGTGCTATTCTGAAAACGCTCTGGATGCTCAATAAACTTCTCAAATGAAATGTTACCTATGAACTGCGTAAAATTAAACCAGTGAAAAGCTGATAGCAGCTGTGAATATGGCGACCGCAATATAGTAAAATATTTAGCATTCGTTACAAGATTGTCAAGCGAAGACCTTATATATCGTCTATGAGTGACACTGTAGTCAATTGTTGAACAGTTAGTACATTCAATATCTTCATGGTCACGTGCAATTTTCAGTTTGTTCCTTAAACCATATCTTACCAGCATAGTTGTTGTGGTACTACTTCCAGTTTTCATAGTCTTGATAAAGATAAATTTGGACACTGGTTTGCACTCAGTAGTAGAATTAATATGCGTGTTGTAACTCATATGCTGCAACAACAACAACAACAACAATAATAATAATAATAATAATAATATTTGAGGTATTTAGCTAGGCTGATACTAAACTCAAGAACCACTATACTGCTTTTTATAATTTTTTTTAGGATCAGTAATTTACTAATTTGCATAGCAGTTTTAGCTTTCACAGAACTTGGCGAATTTAATTTCAATTCAAACCAGAAGTGGCACTTTTGCACAGGATTTTTTCTATTCATTCATTATAGCATTGCTTGCATGTCACTACCTACAGCAGTGCCTAATACATTTTGGTTATACCTGTTAATGTTTGCATAATATGTTTATCATATGGGTTTTATAATTTCTAAAAATCTTCAATAACGTTTAACTTTCTCGTCCAAATTTATTTTGCACTTTATTTTTGTTATATTCTTCAATATTTCAGGAAATGAACCCTATTTTTTGAGTCAAAATTTGAGTCAATTTTCAGTTTTTACTCAAAACAATTGGTAATTTTTGTCTCAATCTTCTGAAGAAAAGTGCAAACTATTAACTATTTTGTGAATTTGTGATGAAAAGAGGAAACTGGTTGCGATAAGCTTAACCAGGTCACAATAGTATGTGGTAATCTGATTTGTTAATCATATCTCTTATCCAGTGCCTTCAAAGTAGCACCGAATCCAAATTCTTGACAGCAACATTGCCCATGACATTATAGTAATGCATATTATTAAGGTTACATGACTATATACAACAAGTAGCTTTGGGGCACAGTTTGCTTAATACAGACCAATCAGTATACATGGACATGTATTTTTAACATGTGTGGAAAGTGTCTTGAATTATCAGACACTGCTGAGTTCTCTGTGATATGCAGGCAACTCTAACTAGGCTAGTATATGTACACCAGTGGTAATATCTTGGCGATTGTGCATCAACAGGACCAGGTACTCTATATGTTCTATATATATATATCAGACGTTCATGAAAATAGAATACTGCATTCAAAAGTCATACATTGTACCGATATAAATTACCGGCATATTTACGAACCTAACACAACCCATAGTATGTGAACTCAAAGTCTCGGCAATTGACTCTCACTGCACTATGAATAAAGGCAGAAAAAATATCGCACACATTTAAAACCAAGTAATTTACAAGGATGGCTATATGGTAAAGCGAATTTCGAACCGTTGACGTTAGAAATACCATACTGAATATATACGCAATCAGTATGACGTCCAGTAAAGATTGATATTGTATATCATACTGAAGAAATATACCAACTGTTCTTCACAAACCTTGGTAAATGGCTGATCACTTTTAAGATGCATTCTGGAAAATACACAACACACTATCAAACAAACAGCAGTGACAAAAATGGTCGGTAATGGCAGTTTCCATTGCATTTGGTTGATATAACCAACGCCTTTCGCCATTTTAGTGGCTTCGTATAAGCGTGGGCGAATAAATGTGGGTGGTGTATTCGTATTGTGGTTAATCATTTTATAAGGATTCATATCGATGCAATATGTTATTAAATAAGTGTCTTTTTTCCGTTTGCTTTAAAAAAATGTACAACAAAGTCACGAGTTGTTTCGAAGTCGAATGTTAACAACCCTCAGTGAGTCCGATGGTCGCCAAGAACGTGGAAAGGCCCAATTATTCAAAGGGGTAAAAGATATATTCTGTGAAATGTATTATTAATTATTGTGACAAATCACACATGGCCATTATTCATAATATACAATGGATAAAAGCTGGTTATTTTGGTTAATGCAATGACTTTATTTATGGAATATGAATGAGCGTTTTCTGCAGGTATAATTATTCAAGACGTTGTACTCTTAAAAATTGTAAATCAATAATTATTACTGTAACACTATTTGATATAATGTGTGGATTGTTTTATGCTAATTACTCAGAAGTGTAGAACATAATATCATTGGTTTATCCTTTTAATTAAAAACTTATCTATTCTTGGGGTGGAGCTACGTAACAAAACGTTCTATGCTGCTAAGACACGTAGCACTGTGCCATGTATTTCTTAGGGGCTCTGTGCGAGCTGTTGTGGAACGCCACATAGTGAAAACAGCTAAAGTCGAGCACAAACTCAACTCGAGGACAATCGTGAACAACAAAATTAATCTTCTGTTACAGCACACCTTGTAGATTAAAATTTTCCTTCCAGAGTTGAAAACAAGTATGACCTGTCAATCGCCTTTATGACAGTTATCACACGGCAATGTACACCGTTTCTTCCCATGATTCCATGCACACTTGAGGTGATATCACAACAACATAGAATAAAGGATGCTGACATTGCCCCCTCATCAAGACTGAACATGGCACATTTTCCGTCCAATAATCAGCATCAACTACCAATAAATTTACATTTCCCAAAATTGCAAAAACAAATATCGTAACAGTAATTCTAAGCATTCTCAATCCTGCTTAAATAGTCTGAACCTATATTTTCTTCACAATCAGGTGGTTATCTACCCCAGCACTCCAGCAAGAAGATTACGCGTACCAAAATGCTGCACCACCTCAATACCAAGAAGCGCCACCACAAGTTTACGTCAGTTACCATGCAACCACAGAAAATCAAAAGACACCTTCAGCGCCCCCTGCGAAACATATTGATCAGAAGAAAATTGGTGTGCTTAATGTCCATATGTTAATGACTCGTAAACCTTATAAATTATGTGATAATGAGGGCACCATGTATTTTTAAGAGACGTCAGACTTCCAATAAACCCCACATATATAATGAAATTATTAATATCTTAACAGTACCGTATCCAGTGCGCATTGTGATACTCCCATGATGCAATGTGATTCTCCTATGCTGCATTGTGTTACTCCCATGGTGCATTGTGATACTCTTATGGTGCTTCTTACACAAATGACCAATAACCACCACCACCGAGTTTACATGTAATGAATGCAGTGCATCATGGGTTTCCTCTTCCTGATATTCTTAACAACATTGTTTATCCGCTGCTCGCAAGTATCATAAAGAGGCTGTTATTTCACGACAGTGTTTATGATTGGCAGCATGAAACAGTAATGTGTAAACTATTAGAAACAAGTCATCTGAAGAC